CAAACAACTTAGCTAACATTCTAAAAAGTCAGTTATTACTGTTGTTAGCTGTCACAGCAAAGGACCAAACGAGGAACATTATCAATAGGCCTCTTATGTAGGCTTGTGGCAAGTTTTGTTCACAGCTGTTGATAAGTGTAAGCATTCCAGTGCCACCTGAGGAGGCAGACACACTGCTGGTCTGCAGCCTGAAATGGCTCCAATGAGTTGTTCCGTTATATCAAAAGAAAAACAAACTGCAAAGTTTATTATGAAGTCCAAGTAGTGGGACAGTGCTTACAAATGGAAGCACGCCATCCTATCTGCTGACTATAGATCACTTTCCTCAGGTGACCGTTAGCATTGGTGACCTTCCTATATAATATGAAACTCCAACCTGTCACAGAATGCAACAGGCTGCCCCAGAGCTGCGGGTGCCCCATCCCTGAGGTGCTCAAGGGCAGGCTGGATGGAGCCTTGGGCAGAGTGTTAGTTTGCAGCAAGACTACGTCTTCTGCATTAGAGCAAATCACTCACTGCAGGAGCAATGAAAGCTCATAATAAGAACTTAGAACTTAATTAGCCACACACCATGTAAATATCCAAGTCTGCCATGCTAAAGAGGTGAATTTATTTAGATTCTGAAGATTCTGGAAAGCACTGGATAGAATAAAAAGAACATCTGCAGTCACTTCTTAGCTACGAAATATTATCTTGCCACAAACTATTTCATCTCCTGCAGTAGATGACATCTAAGTAAGTTATGATTAACCCATGGTGCCGTATTCCACTCTTCTCAAGTAGGAATCCACCTCATTTCCCTTACTCCACTACCTACCCTCGGAGGAAATTGCTGTAAACTTCCATGAAAGCACTTTACTACTACCCTACAAGTACTTCTTCAGAATTGTTTTGCTGTTGCACCAACAAAGCTGAAAACCAAGTATACTCCACACCCTCAGAACACACATCTCACTGATTCATGCTGCTTGCCTGCAATAAATATCAATTATCTAAATTCCATGTGCTGCTATTGCACTCACACCAGAAGTGTATGGAACTACCCTTCCTCTGCAGCTGTGCTGTGCCTTTAACACGGGGCAGAGGGCTCCTCGTTGATAACATAAGCTGAAAGAGTATCGGCAAGGAGATCCAGGTCTCCAACCTGTAGACCTTTAAAAGCAAACAACGCTTCTACCCAGGCGCCAAGTCTTCACAGTCACACACCTGTTATTTCACTGTCAAGGCTCCCCTCACAGCCTGGGGGCAAGCAGAAAGAGACAGAAGAATTCCCAGAGTAGACAACATGCTGAGTACTGGATGTTTTCAGGCTGCAAATGAGACCAATGAACTAGACATCCATGAAGCCACATGTAGCAGAACAAAGCCGCTTAGCAACTGTGAGACTTCTGACAGCAAGCACTGGGTTCAGCTGCACCTCTTCATTGCAAACAATACCCAGAGAACGTAACCATCATCGTAGGTGTGGTGCTGTCTTTGCAGGAATTCTTTAAAGATGCCCTATGCTGATACTGCACTAGAATGACCCTCCTTTCTCCCTCTCAATCAAGTAAGAACTAGTAGCACAACCCCTAAGTAAGCCTCCTCCTAATCAGATTGATTAGAATGCATCATATTTCATTCTAAAAGGGTAAATAAAATACTAGAATACATTGAAAAAAGGCCCCGGTTATGCATGAAGGCACACGCATTTCTCTGACTGGTGATCCACAAATTACCTTATTACAAATACCACCCTCTAAATAGAGGCTGCATCTGTCTGCTGAAGGAAAAAAAAAAAAAAGAATATTTTCTAGAGAATTTTCATGCAAGCTGATTTTGTGTACAGAAGTATGGAACCACAAGTTAAGCTGCCTCAATGATTCCTTCCTTCTGTATCTGTAACCCAAAGGTTATGAAACTAGCACAGCTAAAAGCCATGAGTAAATCAAAGGCACCCACCACACCCCTGAGGAACAAATCCACCTCTGCACAGAAGCCAGTACTGCAGAGACGGGTTTCAGCTGTTCTGCTGGGTGCTGAAGCTTAGACTCCTTACACAGGAAAGGCTCTTCCATAGAAACTTCTGTTCTAGACTTCCTAGCCATGTTCAGCCAGTCTCAGATGAAGCATTTTTTCTTCATACGGTCCGAATGCAAGGGAGAAAAGTGAACCCAGCCACAAGGCCATGCAATCAGAGCTTTATTCCAAGCCTCCATTTCTAACTAAGTCTGAGAAGGGCTTCGGGAAGCATGCAAGTACTTAACATACACAGCCAGAGTAATCTGCTCTGGAAGCTGCATACACAGATATTGCTTGTGGAACGCAGGAAAGAAGTATTTTGCTCTCTCAAGAAAGAGGAAAATCAGATGTCCCTCTTTTCTCCCCAAACCAGGTTACACAAACTCCTCATCCACTGCCTATATAAAAACATTTCTGTAAACTGGTGGATTGCCCAGGTGGTTCAAGAAGTATCAACTCTTTGCATACCTCTTAATTAACTGAGGTTGAGGGTAGAATAAGTACAGCAGGAAAGAGATGTATTAAGGTTTTGGAACAAATTTATTTGATACCAGGAAGCCCATAGGATAAAAAGCAGAAACACGCTTTCAAAATTCGTTACATCCCTTGCCTAGAAAGTTCAGAAAACACAGTATACTCAGGATGTTAAATGAAAATAAAACAGAAAATACTCTTTAATTGACATTTTATATTATACACACAAGTCATTAGGATTAATTTACTAATTGATACTTTTATAAAGAACTGTTCTGCTACAGTGGCAGAGTAACTTAAGGTTCTTTAAAGATGAAAACTTACTCATCATTGTATAAATAACATTACGGTCTCATTCAAGTACTATATTGGTATATTAGTACTGTATTTGGTTTTAGACACTAACACCAGTAGAGGAAGATTCAGAAAAGGGAAATGAAAACAAAGAGAAGAGATTCAGAACCTTACATTCCTAAACTGCTTTCAAAAAACACAGCATCCCTGAGTTTACTCAAGACTGCCACAAGTATGCAGTAACAACTTCATACCATTTGTAATTTTATTATAAAACTGCCAAGCAATTACTGAGAGGAATCAAAATAGAGGCTTCTTCCCCCAGGCTACATCATAACAACTGCAAGTACTAACCATGGTCCTCATCAAAGCCCTGCTATCTGTGAAAGTCAAAACTCCCATCCCAATACAGCACTGTGAATCTATTGCTCTCCTTCACCTCCCAGTTCCCAATGTCAAACTCACACAAGCAGTCATCTCTTCCTGAAGGCAGACCTCAAACATGCACAGAACTAGAAGCAATACAATTAACTGCTCCCCTTCCAGTGGAAAGGAAAGCATCATCGTCAGTATCCTGGCACTCAATGCTTTATGACACAACCAAAACCCAAAAGAGCCACTGTTGTAGTTTTCTCATTTAATTCACTTCCACACCTTTCAGTACGTGTCCTTAATTTTTAGAGGTTTTATGCCATGCAGCAGTTCCCTTCCCCCTGCCCCACTGTATCCAATTGGAAAGTAAGCAGTGACACGGCAACTGTGCTGTAAAGGAGGTGGCAAAGAACATTTTTATTTCGTCTGAAAATCTGTCAGGACAGTTCTGTCATCATAAACCTAGCTTCCTTCCTTCTTCATAGTACCACATACAATGCAATGTGAAAACCTTCCAGTTGAAGAGGATTAATACTGACATTTGAATTTTTTCAATGTAGAAGTGGTATCAGTTTTAATAACAGCCCTACACGTCATCTTTTATGTTGCATGACCTCTAGAACAAATTTACAGAAGCCTTGTTCCTTCAACAGCTCAACACACCAGTGAAGGCAAAAAAGTAGGAACAAAAAAATACTCACAGGAGCAAAGACAGTCACTGTAACGAGAAAGAGCAGAAGAGAAGGCACTTAGTGTGTCCACCTTTTAAAATTAATAGGAAGAGACCAGATAACTGGAACGGAAAATGGCTGCTTCAGCGACCTTTAGCGTGCGCGATGCCATCCCTGAAAATGAACCTTAGAAATGGATATGCTCAAAAAACTCATCAAGGAAAGAGAGAAAAGGCAACTGACAGCCAGTTGAGACTGAAGCAAAGTCTATGGTAAGACTCAAAATTCTGGGCTTTTTACAGCAGTTTGACTTCAATTTGCATTTCTTTATCATTTTATTCCTTTAATTAGATTAATGCGTCTTTCGTGGCACACCGTAGGTGTTACAGACTGGCTTCTTCGAACACATTTGAGATGTTAATTAAAAATGCTAACAGCTATGCTATGCACAGTAATAAGAAGTGTAGTAGCATGAGATGGATGAAATTCAGCTGGAGAAAGTATTTAATGTAGCAACAAAATCCCGAGCAACTGTCAAATAGCTCTCTTTCATCAACACTGTTAGCAAAGGCTTTAGATGATCTCTACCAGAGAAAGACTATTCTTAGCTGTTTAAAAGTGACAGTAGAACAGTCTGACCCCCCTCCCCAATGGGAGAAAAGTCTTCCAGCATCTCAAGGGCCTGGAAGTTTAGCTTGATGATAAAAGCAACATAGTTATTTTTAGCACTCTACAGGCATAGAAATACAGCTCTAAACTGTGACCTACAGCTATGCACAGCCAAGCATCACATCATACGACAGCCTTAACTTTAGCTAGAAGCACGTCTGCGGTTGCTTCAGACAATCATTATTCATCTCCCTGCCAACAATACCTTTGGATGGCTTTAGCAACAAGCATCTGAAGTTGCGACCATCTTTCTTTGAATTGCTGCCATCGGCAGAACACAAATCAAAGGTAGGAAACCTTAATGGACTTTGTAGAAGTATTAGGAAGACCACGTTAGGTTAAATGGATTACTGCTGCTCTTGGGTACAGAGGATGAAAAAGAACCTTAAAAGCAAAAAAACTTAAGCTTTCATATGCACTGCAGAAAGACGTTTTAAGCACAGTCTGAGTGAATAAAAAAAGAAAAAACCTTGTTTTCTTCCACCAGTAGTAACAGCCCGGGAACAGGAAATGCTACAGTAGGAGACCTTCGAGCAAACTCACCTGAAACAACACTGTTCAGACAACTGCAAAGGTAATTCATTCTATTTTTATTCAAATTTGTGTTCTTCTGTCCGCATGGTTTGTAACAAGCTGCAGTTTATAAATCTATTCCACTAGATCTGCTTCCAGAAGTTATATAAACAAGAATTTGCTTAAAATAAAAAGTGATGCAGAAGTTTTAAAGAACAGGATAGGCGCCGAGTTACAGCACTGAACTATTTATTTTATTTCACTTAACATGTAAGCATTACCTCAAATTTTTAATTTTTTTTTTAATAAACATCACCTACATTATCCATAAAAAGAAAGTTAAGTGATTTCAAGATGATAAATATGCAGTTTCAAATGAGCTTTAGATTCGTAAGTGTTAATCCAGAAAACATGAGAAATGCTGTAAAATGTGAGCCTTGTCACATTTGATACCGGTTTGGTGATTATGGCTTTTTTTCCTATGCTGCAGCAAAGTATTTTAGTACGAGGAACAAAGTTTCCTTTAAAGTTTCCTGCTTAAAAAGAAGTCCCTGGCATCAATGCTGCCTGCCTAACAGAAATAAGCGAAGTTTCTTTTTCTTTCCCCCTCACAAGCTTAAAGATGCCGCTTTTTGGCTGGATGAAATGGCCAAAAAATGATTCCTACAAACCCTCAAGGTATCCTGGATCAGAACTAGTTACAAAAACCTTGCTAAGGGAATTGAAATGGCACCTGAAGGAGCGTGAAAGGTTAGTGCAAGAGATTGAAAACGAGCAAAAAGTCCAGAAAACCGGCATGGATTACAACTGGTTGAAGAACTACCAAAATCCTCAAGCCACAATTCCAGCTACTGAGCAGCGGCAGCTCGAAGTTCTGTGCTCCCAAATCCAACCCTGCCAGACTGGAACTGTTCTCAGCAGGTAACCGTTTCCTATTCCTCTTACTTGGAGTAGCTGATTTTCAGTAAGTTTTAAGTTACTTCTTTTGCCTATTCCAAGCTTATATATGGCTGTGATCTTCTTTCCAATTTAGGAATGAGCAGCAATCTGAGTGTATCTTTATATGTGTGTTAGAGATTACATCTGTGCTTTATTATATTGTACATGAAGGTTGGTTTTGTTCGTTATTATTATTTTTTTTTTTTTAAACATCAGGATTCTCCCAGCCTGATCTTAAAGGAAATTTTGCACGCTTATAATATGACTTCTCAATAGTTTAAATTCTCCACTATTCATCCCCAGTATTTATTAAATTGCATCCAAGAATCAAAAACTCAAATTAATGCAGTGTACCGTTAAGCCTCACTGTACAAAATATTTGAAGCCTGTAACCCTAGAAAAAAAACAACAGTGTTAAACAGAATTCCATTCTGGGGCAAAAGGGGGAAAAAAAATGGATTACCATCAAAAATTCTCCTATGCTATTTAAATACACTTTCTAGGGGCACACAAATGACAGAAGAATCCTATGTGCCTTTTAAAGCCCAGAATACACCTAAGGGCAAAGTCAGTTTAAATCAAGTTACCCAGATGGCAAAGGAAAACAAAAGAATACTGAATAACAACAATCCTCAAAATAGCTGGATTGCCTCCAATGTATTGTTAGAGCTCTTTTCCTCTACAATCTTCTGGGGGAGGTGTGTGGGGAAATGTGGCAGCAAGGAATAACTGACATAAGAGCGCAGTCATTTCCTCCCCCTTTCCCTCTCCTCATCAGATTAGCAAGGAAACAGGAGCATTGTCAGCATCAGTGATTAGATTTCAATGCTTGTTTGTTTCTAGATTTCGTGAAGTTTTGGCAGAAAATGATGTTTTGCCTTGGGAAATAGTCTACATATTCAAGCAAGTTTTAAAAGATTTTCTTACTACCATGGAGAGAGAAAACCAACAAGAGCAACTGGTAAATGTGTGGAATACAAATTGCTCTGAACATTTCAACCTGCGTGGAGACAGTTCTAACAGATCGGAGAAAGAGGAAATCCCTACAGTCTCAAGTTATGTCGACAAAAACACACAAAGCATGTTTCCCACTTTCTCTGATAGGATCTGGAATCTACCATACTACTACCCATCGAGTTAAGTTGCTTTGTGCTGCTTTCAAAAAGCTCTGTAGCTGTCTGCCTTCCTTCACTGTGATTGCCATCCAGAAACATAGCAATAAGAAATGTGACATGTTCCCTTTTTCACCTTAAGAGCTCAGAAACTAAAATCCTTGATTACAGCTAGTACGCATTATATGAACTTGTAGCATGAACTCTCTTTTCTTACCTTCCACATTCCTTGAAGCTACTGTGTTTGAAGGAACCTTTTAACCAAAAACGTAGATGCTGCTAATAAAACAAGCATTTTATCTTTGGCATATCTGTAGGTATAGAATCATAAACAAGAAAAGACTGCTTTCTGTATTTTGGAGTAGCACCAGTCCACAAACTGTTAGACAACAACTGATGTATTTATTACATAGCTTCTAAGCTTTATAGGGAATTTATACAATGTAAGATTTCTTAAGTATATTTGATGTTATATTAAATGGATAAGTACCTTTTGGAGCTGAATATTTATTTCTCAATTTCAAGAGTAAGTCCTAAAGCAAAAGCAACGTAAAATAACATTTCACTGCATGAACAGTTTCTTCATTTGTCTGAACTCTGCACTGCACATGAGGAAATACTGTGAAATCTGACAACTAAATGTAACCTTTGGATATTTAAGTACTTTCAACAATTAGCTCTCTATCCCCTAAGAAATTCTCACATAATTTCATTTCAAAAGGTTGCGCTTCTTCTGTTGTTTGAAGCTACCCTGAAAGCCAGATGCTAAACTTCAGCATTTTGGTAAGTCACAGTACTTTCTGGAGTAGCAAATCACTTCAAAAACAAGTGAGCATTTCAAATTTTCAGAAACTTGCCATTTCTCAGTTGCTATTATCTGTGACTGAGTTCATAACAAAGTTTTAAAGCACTGATTGGACACACAGCAGTTATGGTCAGAGCAGACAATTAAAGCAAAAAAATTAGAGAAAACATACACCGTAGCCATGTGCTGCATTTCCCATCGGGCTCCCATCACCATTGGAAACAAACTTTTACACACCTTTTATTTAAACTCTCCATCTCCAGATTTCCTCTCCATCAGTCTGTCACATCATAGAAACAGGCAAGTCTCCTATTTCTCAATTCACAAAAAGAACTATTTTGCAATTTCAGAGAAAAAATGTCACATATGATATTCTTTTCAAGCATACTGAAGACTACATTCATTCAGAACTCCTCAATCTGGTAACATGCAACTCAAAGGTATTTCCCTTCTTTCCCACTTGAATCTTTCACCCAACACAGAATTTACTTATAATGTAATGTCAGTTGGGTAAAACAGATTGCATGTATTTTTTTTATAAAAGGTATAAAACTACAAGAGGTTATAAACCAATATTTTTTAAAGAAGCTTCAGCTAAAGAAGCCTCTTTAGCAGGCTCTGTTGTGATAGGATAAGAGGAAAAGGTTTCAAACTAAATGGGGGCAGATAAGGAAGAAGTTTTTTCCCAATAAGTGCGGTGAGGCACTGGCACAGACTGCTCAGAGAGGTGGGGGATATCCCTGGAGACAGCCAAAGTCAGGCTGGACTGGGCTCTGAGCACCTGATGGAGCTTTGGGCATCCCTGTCCACTGCAGGGGAATGGACTGGATGGCCTTTTGAGTTGGATTACGGAATCATCTGAATGATTCCGTAATTCAGATGAAGTCTTTCCATTTCAAAAATAAGGACCATCAATTGAAACATATGCTAAAAGGCAGTCTGTAACCAATAATTAAAATATGTAGGCATCACTATTAATTCAGTAATTCCATGTACAATGAATAGGAAAAGCACAAAAAGGCTTACATACTTCTTGCACTTTACTGAAACTAGGCTATGTAATCAGTTCTAACATTAACGGAGTGGAAACTAGAAGGAAAAAACTAAACTGGGAAGTAGAGAGGGCACAGGTAGAAAAACATATTATACAAAGGCTGAGAAAATGCCATCCTCTGAGACCTTGCTTCATTTCTGTTTCCTTCAAACACCAACACGGGAGGTAACCTTACAGAATATTTTCAAAGTGCAGTGTATTCTTTACTTAGAAAAAAAGAAAAGCATAGAAAGAGTAAAGACAGGGTAAGAACTGGTAATTTTGGTACCACATGCAGCTGGCACACATCATTCCACTGGCAGAAAGGTGAGTGACAGCAACTTCAAAGGGCAGCAAGCCTCCCACCTGCACAGGTGTCAGGCAGAACAGCTTGCTATGTTTTTAGCCAAATGAAGTAGCTATTTAAAAAAAAAAAAACTAACTCAGCAAATGCTACACCTACAACATGCAAGAAATCAAAGAGAGAATAATGATCTTTTTCCATGCTTGCACTTTTTAAGTGTTTTAATCTGGACCACAATTGTTTTGGTAAGATGAAAGATTTAAGGGTCATTTCATTTCATTCAGTTAAATGCAATCAGAGAAATTAAGAAGTAAATTAACAAGCCATTTAAGGATAAAAACCCTAACCATAACCTCAGAGAAATATTACTTCTTCTTAAGCTCAACTGCTAATATTGTTACTCTAGAGGCAGTCCAGACTTAGCCTCAGAAGGTGAAGCATCATTGGTAACCAAAAAGAACATCTTACATATCTTCTTAAGGCACAAAGCCTTTACATTCAATTAGCAAAAGTATTTCATAAAGCTTTTGTTAAGTATTATTTCTTATTACAGAGCACTGTAATTATTATGACACACTTCTTATTTCCATGATTGATTGGGTATAAATCCTACGTGCTCTTGCACGTCAATTTAGATAAGAAGTTAGAAATAATTTTAACAACCATAAGTTATATAAGAGGCTTAAAACTATTCATATATAACAAGCATCTTTAACGTCAATCATTTTGCCTTTAATTTTAACATGCCTTGAAGAAAATATTGAAATAATTACAGTACAAGCAACCTCAGCAAGGTAAGAGAAATTTTTTTGCTTTCAGCCCTCCAAAACCTTCAAGAAGCCAACAAACACAAATCCAAGTGCTTCCACTTGAACATACAACTCATCAGAATTTCTCAAACGATGCCCAAGCTCCCTAAGTACAATCCCAGAAGTGTAAAATAGAAACGCACGTGGAAACAAAACCCACCTACCAAAAGAGGCCTTCCTACAGAGGCCCTGTTTGTTCTGTAGCAGCACGCATACATCACTAAACACATATAAAAACGTACAAACAGAGGAGAGGCACTCCACACACAGCCCCACACCCCGCTATCAGGCTGAGGGGCAGCAACCACACTCACCTCAATGACTCCTGCACAGCAAACGGACTGGGGAGACAGGATGAATCACGCGAGGCTGTAGCCTGCGCACGATCACCTAAGAACTCAACGGCGGTCACATCTTTGCCAATGGTGAACCACTCGTTCACCTGCTCGATAGTGAGATTCCGCAGCATGATAGCGACAACAGGCCAGCGCCTCGCACCGCACAGCACGCGCGTGCGCCCGCGTCCCCTCACTGCGCTCTCTTCCCGCGCTAGGGAAAGCCCCGCCCATAGCACGTGACCCATTGAAGGGAGGGCGGCGCCATGTTTGTGGCGTAGTGAAGCGCGGTCAGCTTGTGTGCTACAGCCCTAGAACAATGGGCGAAAGGCGTTCTGGGATCGCGATCAATCTGTCGTTCCTCTTAGCTAAGAAAACTGCCCGCAGGCGTATAGCCTCAGCCCACCATGAGAAGCCACCCACCCTGGCGGCTGCCTCCTGGCGACAGGCTGCCCCCGGGCGTCAGGAGCTTTGACGGCCCTTCCCAGTATTGTCTTGGTGCTCGCTCCATGCCTAGGCAGTACAGAGTGCGAACAGGCCTAAGCATGGATTTTTTTCAGTGCAATCAGTTCTTTGAACGTTGCAGAACGGCCCTCGAACGGCTGAGGCTGACCGAGAGCGGGCCGCGCTGGTGCTCTGGTCTTCCACAACTGCAGGGGGCGCTGTGCGCCGCCGCCGCCTCTCTGGCTCGCGATCTTCCCTCGTTGGTGCGTGCCTTCCCGGCATCCCCCGTGGCGGTAGCGGAGGCCGTCCCCGTTCCGTGACCTTCGGTGGCAGCCGCGCTCTCCCGGCCTAACGGTGGGTTGCGGATCAGGCCTGGGCCGGTAGTGCCGTCGCTCGGGGAGGAGGCTGGGGAGCAACCCTTGTGTGTTGGTGGCCGTTGTTCCCTGTGTAGAAGGGACCGCGGGAGGTCGGCAGGTACCCGCTGCGAGGGGTGAGCGGGCCGCGGTGCTGGGAGGAGGGCGAGGAACGTGGATTAGAAGGCACGTTCAGCATGGATTAACTCACTGGGAAGCAGGGGGGGTCTCGGTGTACTCAGCAGCACCGGTGAAAGCACAGCCTTTCAGGAAATACCTCCGTAATTGCTGCTGTAAACTGGTATACTGGTGAAGAGAAATACAGATTTGTAGTAAGACATTAAATTCCATAGAGATGCTTTTATCCTTGGAGAAGTACCAAGATTTCTATTCTGGGGCTCTGAGTTAATATATAATGTCCGTGTCAATGTACAGGTGAGTTTGATGGGTTGTATTATTTGGGTGATGTGCTCAAAGTGTTTAAGGTAGAAAACAATAGAATGTGCAGTATTGCTATGTAGTGTGGTGCAAATGTGTGCTAAGATGTTGAATGGCAGTAAGTTTTATTTTAACGTACATCTTACATACTTTTCTGGTCTGGTTTGAATAACAACCATTGTTTGGATAACCTCATGTGGCAGGGGGGGTTAAATCTAAGTGATCTTTGAGGCCCTTTTCAACCCAGGCCATTCTATGGTTTTATGAACAAAGCTGGGTACAGAGGAGGAAAACACATCAATAGGCTTCCTGCTGCTGGAGCACATTTAAAAAGTAACATTTTCATAATAAATCATGAATTGAGTAGCTTATCACATGTTCTGCTATTTTGAGTAGAAATTATGATGTTGAGAAGTATAAGTTATGTGAGGGAGAGAAACTAATTTGGTATGGTGCAAAATAGGAGCCTCTCTAGTTTGCCTGGAACAAGATTTTACTCCTGAGAGACTCAGAAACAAATCACTGGTAGAGAGGAGCCCAGCTATTGCTACACTGCAAATCCTGTTAATTCATCTTTGAATCCTTTTATCAGCAGGCATGTATCTGTGTGTTAGTCCATAAGGTATAACCTGAATTCTGAATTTGTAGTGCTCTGCTTTGGAATAAATACTTTTTCACATTTGCTTTTTTTTTTTTTTTTTTTTTTTTTTTAAATGGAACTCAGAGTGCTGCTGCTGAGGTATGGGTGTGTGTATATATACATGCGTCTCTATGTGTGTATTTGACAGTGTGTGTGTTTAACATGCATATAAAAGTTACGTATACAGCATGCAGTGCATATATGCATATGTAAGTAAATATGTAATTGCACAACTCACCATTGGAGTACCTCTTGTAACTTTCAGATGATGCAAAATATGATTCCAAAGTCATGGAGAGCCATGAAGTTCTACTTCACTACTGTTTACCAAGAAATATGGGTTGGTCTAGCATTAACAGCTTATGCCTATTACAGAATTTCATACGGTGGTAAGTTAAACATTATAATCTCTGTTAGCTGTTAAAACCCTGGTATATAGATAAGAATGTCTTTCACAGTTCAAACTGCCCCCTGAAAAATGTCTAGCAAATAAGAAATTAATGCTTCTCCTCAAAGCCAATTTTTCACTATAAAAATGTAAAAGTTTGGCATCTTCAATGTAGAAGGCTGCACTAACAAAATCACCCATGCACT